AAATATTTATGATGTGTCAAAGTGCTGGGCACTGGGTCCTCTCGGAGCTCTTCAGTCTAGTTAGGGAGACTGTGGCTGAGCAAATATTTAATATTTTTACATATAATATCACTTAAAAGGTGAATGCTATCAATATCCTGATTTCTAAAATAGGTTTCAATAATGGGACCTACCACATATGCCTGTGGTGAGGGTCAACTAAGAAAACATGTATGCCAATTGATTACTACAGTGACTGGCACAAGATAAGTGCATGGTTGTTATTCCCTAGGAGCATGGGGTTGGGGGTAACAACTAGCTGTGCCTAAAAGAGGTGGACAAGGTCTGAGATGAGAAATGTGAGTTTTAAAAGATAAGTAGTTGGGCCGGCCGAGTGGCGCGATGGTTAAGAGCTGGTTTGGGACGCCAGAGGGCCCCGGTTCGGATCCCACATATGAGGGCCAGTGACACTGCCCTCTACAGCTAAGATGCTGAACAACAGCTCAACCTGGAGCTGGGCTGCCATGAGTCGCCGGTGACGGCGTAGGCTGCAGCCCCTGTGGCAGTGGGTTGCCATGGGCTACCGTGTGTAGCCAGCAGCCAGCGTGAGTGGCCAGCAGCCGCAGTGAGCAGCCGTCCAGAAGCCGGCGACTGATCTGCCTCGCCCGGGAAGAGCGCAATGATGGTGCCAACTTGGGCCAGTGAAGCAACATCCTCTACAATTAGACTGAAGAACAAAAGGACAGCAACTTGTCTGTTCCCCTTTCCCCAATTCCCCAGCGCTGTTCCCATCCCCCAATTCCCCAATAAAAATCTTTTAAAAAAAAAGATAAGTAGTTGTTCATTAAATGGAGACATCAGGGGATGAATATTCCAGGCAAAGGGAGCTATGTGCAAAGGCACAAAAGTACTAAGGACATGGTAAGTACCAGGAGGATGGAGTTGGCATGGTTGGAGCATACAGTATACGAGGAGAAAGGGAAAATTGTGGCAAACTAGGAGGGAATCAGGCAAGGCTCCACAGACGAAGTGACATTTTGGCTGGGTCTTGAAGGGTCAGTAGGAGTTTGGCAGGCAAACAAGGGGGAGGACATTCAAGTGGTGAGAAGAGCACATGTAAAGGCACAAAGTTGTAAATGTGTATGAAATACTTGGGAAACTGTGTGCTGTGGCTGGAGCTCTGCTTTCAAGGACTCATCGCTCTCATTTGGATGTTTTAGAGTCCTGAGCTTGTTTGGCAGACCGGTGGTGTGGACCCCCTGAAGTCACTTTGCATGAGGGATTCAGTGCGGGAGGGAAGCAGTATATGTGCACCAAAGGGGAAAGGAATTAGGAGGACAGTCTCATGTCTCTCTTGGAGGCTTACACTCAGCACAGTTTCTGCATACTGGCAACTGAGCCCTGATAAAACGGGAAAGTGGAGCCTAAAGGATTTGTTTTTATGAAAAATCCCAGGAGACTCTGAGTCATAGGAAGACTCTGCTTTGGTCCACATAATACACACTCAGAAACTATGTGCTAACTAACTGGTTTAATGTACAGTGACCAAGTCTAACATTACAGGTGGGGAGGGCATTCTCTCCACTTGTGCACAGGATATGGTGCCACTGGGGAGCACTGAAGATTCCAGAGCACCATCACCATGGTGGCACCTCTAAGACAGAAGGAGCACTCACCATCAATATCACAGCTGGCAGTGGTAGTGGATCTCAGGGTATGTGTGGTGATGGAGACAGTGGGTGGCCATTTTTTCTAGCATTGCTTATTACAGAGGAGGGCCAAAGCAAGAAAGGAAAAAATAAAAGGCAGGCAACGTGTGGTAAGCAGCAGGATTTGTTCTTGGGCCCGTATGAGGGGCTTCCTGGGAATCACTAGTGGGTGGAGAGGAGAGAGAGGAAAAGATCCTGCAAGAGGAAATAAGAGCAAAGGCCAATTTACATGGGCTACATTTAGGAGAGCAAATTGATAGGACTTGGTGCAATTTCGATGTGGGTGATCAGGGAATGGGAAGAGTGCCATTGGAGCCAAGCTGCCTGGTTTGAGTTACGTGTGGCTCCTCCAATGGAGGTGGAATAATATTGGAAATTATAGCCTACCCTTCCAGAAGACAGTATGCTGGGTGTAAAGGGGACCAAGCTAACAGAGCTAAGGGCAACTAGATTCAGCTCATTCACAGTAAGGGGTTGGCAGTCAAAGGCCAACATTCTATCCAGGTTGTGGGTCAAGAATTGTGAGTTTTGAGGGCTCATCATGGGGACATGGCTTCTCATACACCTCACACAACAGGTTAACACTCCTTTTCTCATTAATTTTAATCTTTTTCTTTCTATAGGGTCCCTCCCTTCAGTATTCAGACATGGCCAAATAACTCCCATATTGAAGACAAAAACTTTCCTTTGACCTCATATCCTTCTACAGCTACGTCCTTACCTTATCTCTGTAATTAAGCTTCTCCAAAGAATTGTCTCTAACTGCTGTCTCCAATTCCTTATTTCCCCACTCACTTCTGGACTCTGCTCTTATCACTCCCCCAACATTTCACCATCAAGACTTCTGTGTTGCTAACACCAATGCATACTTTACTGTCCTATATCATTTCAGCTTATATCTTGGCTTCTGTGATACCACAAATGTAGCTGGTATTAGGGATTTGAGAAACTTTAATTTGGATCAATATATGTGATGAAACTCTTACCCTGTTCCCTATATAAATCTACCACTAACCAGCAGACCAAAATTGAGTCTCTCTTGAAATCCAAGTCAATGGCCTTCTGTACCCAGTCTCTTAAATATCTTGACCTAAAGGGAAGCCAGAAATCAATGGCCATTTTCAGTTCCATGTCATTCTTCAACATCCATGGTCATAAACAAATGGTCACGATGTGCCAGACACTAATCACTTTACATGCATTGACTAAACCTCACTCCAAGATTGCAGGTAGAGGTCAACGTAGTACAGCAATTATCCCCATTTTATAGTTTGGGAAATGGACAAACACAGCTAGTAAGTGCATAGCTGGGATTAGAAAACCTGGTAGTCTGACTGCAAAGTTACTTTCAGCCACAATGCTATATTGTGAGTGGGTGTGGTATCAAGTTGAGTGAGAAACAGCTAGGTCCGCCCATCACCTATTACCCAGTCCAAGGTAAGCATCAACCAGAAAGTCAGTCACTCACACGGCATTATTGCACATGATTTTTTGAAATTAACTTTTTTATTAATTTAAAAATCTAAAAATACAATGACTACATAAATAAGTACCATAGTTAGGTACATGTCCTGTGAGAACAGTGAAAGGGTAATACTGTTTTGTTACTCTTATGTGTTTACGTGAGTTAACTATAAAATGGCTATAACCACTAAATGGTGCTTATGGTCTTTGTTGTTCCAAGTGTTTATGATACAAATAAATACACAAGAAGAACCACATCCATTCCTCTCTACTAACTACAGGCTGTTGGCCTCTTCTCCCTATGTCCTACTCTCTACACACCACCAAAGGGAAAGTTTCTATGTTTATCCAGCATAGCTCCCCAACTCCTGCTCCACACAGCACTTTGTAAAGGTGTGACCTATCACCTGGGAGCAGGAGTCTATCTAGGGAAGCTCTCCAGGTGTTTCCTAAAGGCTGAGCTGTCAGAGAACACCTGAGTGGGAGGGCTTTGGGGTGAGTCATCAAGAAGGGGAAATTACAGCTTTGCTTTAGGAACCAGTTATTTTTTTCCACACTATGGAAATACTGCCACCTCTGGGAAGGACACAGCAGCTTCTTAACACCCTCTCCTCAGTAATAATGCTCCGTGGCCTTTCAGCCCTGAATGTCATTCCTACCTCCTTTTCCTAAGGAGAATGTGTGTGAAGGCCTGGCCGCAAGGCTCCTGTGTCTCTTATATGAGAATAGACTCCTTTATGCCAGATTGCCATAAAAACTGGCCCTTTTACATTTTTCCCTATTGGTGTCAAATACTCTAAGGAAAAAAAAATGTTCATCTCACCTCTGGTCACTGAGTAGGAAATACGGGATTTCTGGGTCCTTAATACTTTTAAGTACTCACTAGAGTTAATTCATGCCCCTCAGAGGAGAGATATCGAGAAGGCAGGCTTGACATCGTTGTTGTGGAGAATTTATAGTTTTCCCATAAAGATGATTTTTAAAACCAGGCCTCAGAATGGATAATTTATGCTCTTGTATTGGGCTACAAATAGACATTTTTGGAGCAGCCCTTTCGAGAATCCATGATTCAAATCCATGCTTGATGGATGACATGAGAATGGCAGGGAGATTTAGGATAAAGATCTGTATCAGAATTCCCATCTCCCCAAATAAGCAATAATTCTCCCAGCTGAAGAGTATACACTCAGAAGCTCATTAGGACTAAGGTCCTTTGCAAAGCAAAAATCAACTCCCATAACTGGAGAAGGAAAACTGCCCTTTTAAGGAGCTTCTAGAATTTAATCATTTAACCTAAATTTTTGGACTAGAGAATTTGGACTAGAAAATTAGTGCATATTGTACTATTAATTGGTGAGTTGTACTGACCCGAAATCACAAAGATGGCCTTGTTGACGTCTATCAACTCCTTTATTTAACAATCATTTTGTCTTACATGGATTGAGTTTCTGAAAATTTACCCAATTCTAACTTCTTTATGGAGACTCTATAGGTTCAGGGACAAAATGGAAGTGGGGAAAATTATTTACCATTTCAGAATGAATGTGGCCATGAAATGGTGTTCTTATTCCTCACCCTGCCATGATAGTTAGTGACTTCAACAATCACACTACAGACTCAAGGACAGAGCCTTCTGCTCACAGTTCTTTATTTATTCTCCTGAGCACCAGCAACCATGAAGCTACTTGGGAGCCAGGTCAAGGAAAGGAGGGGAGAGTCAATGGTGGTCTTGCCTCAGAATGAAGGCTATAGTTTAGTGTGTGAGTGTGAGTGTGTGAGTGTGTGCGTGTGTGTGTGTGTGAGTGTGAGTGTGCGAGTGTGTGTGTGTGTGTGTGTGTGAGTGTGTGTGTGTGTGTGTGTGTGTGTGTGTGTGTAGGGAGTTAATTTTTTTTAAAACATAAAGCATTCTAAAATTTTAAGACTATAATTTCATACAAATATTTCCTTGTACTACAGAACTCCTACTAAGAAGCAATTCCTTTCTCTTTCTTTCACTGGAATGACTTTCTTGATAGAAACCCTAGGGTTTTGTTTACTCTTTAACCTGTAAAGAAATGTGATTCTCCCAGAAACTAGAGCAGAGTTATGGTGTTCTATCCCTCTGCCTCCCACAAATAATTCAAGACTCTTCTAGTGTTTTTGGAGGAGATGTTTAAGGGCTGACACACCACTCCACATAAAGGAGCAAATTATGCTGTGCATGGCGTAAATAATTAACTGCATTTGAGTTTGGGTTTTAGGGCACTGTTGACTTAAGCAAATTAAACCTGCAGTCCAGCTGCAGCTTGAGTTTTCTTTCTTTACCCTATCCCATACTGTCTGTCTCATCTAACAGTGGCTCTTTTCAGACTTTTCCAGGTACAGAACCTTCACCAAATCTTCAAGCTCTGTTCTGCACACACGCCTTGAACACATCTGGCTGATCTGAGCTTCTCCTTCGGTGAATATCTTCCACTGGCCTAAAAGGCAAACACAAAGTGGCCGGAAGAGGTAAGAAGTGAGCAGAGCCAAGTAGGAGTACAATCAGTATCCCCCATCCTTCCTCACTCACACATGACCCACCAGGTGAGCTGGGATACAAATGTCAGGTAGTTTCAGCAGAACAGCCCCCAAAACACTTTTGTGGGGGCAGATATGGAAAACAGGCCATGGAGCTTTCATTTTAACACACAACATTTGTAAGAATCCCAAGAATAATATGTAATTGACTCCTCAAGAGTAAAACTTAAGTATCGTTCTTATAATTTTTACAGTATATTTAACATTTGCAAAATGCTCCACTCTCAGGTTACTATTTAGGTGGCTCACTTGGCACCAAGTAAAATAAGGTACTTTGGAAAACACTATCTGGTAAATTATTTGGGCTTTGCTTACTTTTGGGGGCCTGAATAGTTGTTGGGGTTACTTATTTACTGATCTTTCCTGTATTCCTGCCACCCTTTGTTAAAAACTGCTCACATCTGCTTTCTCCTATGCCTGCAGTCTATCCTCACTCCCTCATTAGTACCCCTCAATCCCCTCCTATGGCTCCTTTATAGAGTTCTAGTCTCATATCCCACATCTGATCCCTTTCTACTCTGGGTAAACGTGACTATGTCCCTTCCATTCCATTTTCTCATATCCCTCCATGGAACTGTCCACACTCCAAAGTGTCCTGACCAACTCCTCTATCCCCCATTCTGTCATGCTAATTGAGCAATCATTTTCGAGTGTATACTCTGTGCTGAGCACTGGAAACCACCCTTGGTCTCTGGCCCATCCTTTTTCTAACTTTCCTGGTCCTTGAGTAACAAGATCTTCATTTTCCTGCTACCATCTTACCCTGTCAAACAACCCTCACAACAAACTGCCCACTCTGGATGGCCTCTTCAGCCTTCTTTTTATTCCTGCGCTCATGGTATTACACCTGGAGAAGTCCTAGTCCAAGGTTAGCAAGCTCCTCTTAATCTAGAATCTATGTTGAACCTCTTCTTTTTTTCACTAGCCACACAAGAATGACACCCTTCTTTACAGATTCGATTTCTCTGTTCCTATTTCCCTGTTTTCTCCAACTCAAGGGCAAGGTAGAAGGAAAAAGCAGAGAAGGGTTAGGGAAGAAGCCAGCTTTAATCAATCCCTACTGTGTGCCAGGACCTGAGAGGCACATTATAGAAAGAAGTCAGGCTTATTCTTCTGTGTCCCGATGTGACTCTGATGGATCCTCTCATTACCCACTTCTTCAGCAGCACAGTTTGAAGCACACACTGTCTACTTTTGTTATACACTCCAAAGCCTAACTGTTACAAGCAGAACGTTTGTTTAAATAATCTTTCAAGTCCCCTGGTGTCTAGACACAGTGTTTTGTTCACAGTATGGACAAAAAACATTGTTCTTTGAAATTAACTGGTAATTTCAAAAGTCACATCATTGACCCTGGAATCCTAGACTCTGCCTTCTTTACTTCTTGCTCACATGTTAGGACTCCCAACTCCTCCGTTTGACTTCTCCTACTGTCCAGATTATTGTCTTTCAGTCTCTGGCAGAACAAACAACTAACTAACCTCATAAACTCTATTTCCAGCTTCTTATTGGGTAATTCTTCTCAGGTAGCCCTTAAGCATCTTAAGCTAAAGATGTTCCAAGTGAAACTCAGATTTCTCACCAATACCTGCTTATCCTCCAGAGTATCTTTTTGGTGAATGGTATTGCTATTTACTCACTCTATAAAGTTATTAATATTGGAGTCATTCCAAACTCATTTCTCTCTTTAATACTGTTCTTGATGATTTAACCTCAAAGATGTCTCTCACAGTGACCTCCCCTCCCTGTCTAACTGACTTAGTACAGTATAATTGCTTCCTAACTTAGACTATCTCCAGATCTTTCACTAACAGTCCACCTTTCACTTCACACAGCAAGTACCTCCTTCTAAAAGAACAGATGTGAATGCATCCTTCGCTTGCTTAAAAACCTTCACTGGGGTTCTCTGGTCTGGAGATCAAGTGTAACTTCTTAGCCTTGCATATTGAGCTCTGCATAATCTGGCCTCATCAAAGCAGATCCTTAATAAATCCATCTGACAGCCAAGAGACATCTTTTCAAAGCACCATTTTGATATTACCACACCGTTTTTAAATATAGAGCAACTATCAATGCTACTTGCCTTATATCTGAACTTTTCACTGACTTCTTCTAGGCCCTGTGATTACTTCCCACCTCCAATTCCTCTCATCTTTCTGTGCATCCTATGTGGTCTTTGTAATTGTTCCTCACATACACTTCTTGTCTGCTCCTGTCTGAGTCTTCTCTTAGGCTGCACTCTATCCCTGGACTGACTTTCTGACCTGATGCCCAGTCACACCCTTCTCTTTCAAAACACACCTCCTCCCTGAAGCCTTCCCCAACTAAGCCCACCTGGCTCTCATCTCATTGTTCTTTGCAGTTACCCTGAGCACTTAGGTATTTAACTCCTCAGAAGTATACTAATTCATAATGAAGGTACTTTCATGTTCTGTCTCGCCCATTAGAATTCCCTGTGGATAGAAATTATATCTTTTATTATTTCAGAAGTGTACCCCACCCCCCAGAGGCTAGCAGTATCTAGTCCCTAGGCTCCATCTAGCGTAGAAAGTGGGAGAGCTGCAAGTATGCTTGAGCACCTGAATGCTTTTAAAGAAACATGACGACCCAGGGGCAGTTCCAAAGAACCAAACAGAGCTTTGATACAATACAGGAAATTATATGCATTGATTTTCTCTCTCTTATCCCTACCACCAGAGGACATATCCTTCCAGATGTGAAGTCTTCACAAATATTCCAGACCTGGAATCTTGTAAGGTTTCTCTGACTATATTGAGACTCCGTGTTTAGCAAGTTCATTAAAGATATTCAGGAAACTTTGACCCGAGGGAGGTTATGCTCAGATTACATCTGGATTTGTATTCACCAGGTCCAGGCTTTTCAGTTCACATCCAAACACCACATTCCCCACTAAGTCACTGGAGGAGATATAGAACATCCTCCAGTGCTGATAATGAACATTGCTAATGTTCACTGAAAACACAGAGATACTTTATTTGGAGCTATGCTCCATTGCAAACTGGATGTGTTTTCCAGGAAGGAGTAAAGAAAGAGAGGTACCACTTACCCAGGGTTGTCCTGGTCACCAGCTTGAAATGATGGAGTTCCTCAAACATTCTCTTGGAGATCTTCTCAATATGGAAGTGCTGGAGGATGCCTGGGGCCAAGTAAAAAGTGGGGCAGGTGGTCAGGTGCTCTCTATCTGGAACCACCAGCACCTTTTTCTGCTTGGGCTGAGCATATCATCTCATTACCAGGGCTTTGAAGTATTGAGCTGGGCTGTGTACTGTGCTTAACCAGGAATTTGGATGGCTCAAGGATTATAATTGACTACATTTATTTTCTTGGCTTACTGGCCTCCCCATGGTTCTCCAAAGGATGGAGATAGATAGATAAAGCTGAGAAGCCCTCCTAGGGAAAGCCACATGGAATCAAACATGGGTGCTGGTTGGAGCTTCTGCAGCCAAAGGCAGTATTATAGAAATTCTGCCATTGCCCCAAGTCTGGGAAGATGACGTCCTTGCCAAACCACAGGGCTGCCCTCCTGGTTAAGCAGTGAGAGCAAGCAGTGGGATTATTACAGACAGGTTGTTTGTATAAATGGAGAAGCCATTCTGATTCCTGAACTCACCAAAAAGCATATTTTCCTTTGGAAAATATTCACAGCTCCTTTAGCTTTCTCTTATTAAAAAAATATGGAGAGTTAAAGGGGTTTCAAAGTCTCAACCTTGCCTGAATAGCTTTTATCAAAATAACATGTAAACAACTGAAAACTGCCTTGCATTTAAGGAACAACATGTTACCAGCCTAATGAACTAAACCTCAAAAGGTCTACAAGGAGCAACATAAGTGAAGCCAGAGTTTTTCTCTGCTTGCCATGAAGAGAACTTGATAGCCCAGCACTGTGAATAAGGTTATTTAGATGCTACACTAGTGAGTTGAAAAACATCCACACACCTCTGTGGGATGAGATATGTGGTATGAATAAATAGTGGGCCCGATGCTAGGGAAGCCAACAGAACAGTGCTTAGTCCTAGGTGGCCAGTTATCGAGGAGCTAGAGAGTTAGAGAATGAAAATCAGCATTCCTAGGTATACAGAAAAATAAACATGAAAAAGAAACATATGGGTGTTCTACAGTATTTTTTAAGGGGTAGGGAGCAACTTGTTCTTTCAAGAAAGAAAGGTGGTTGTGAAAGGGAAGAGAAAAAAGCCCCACAAATACTAGAGCTGTTGTTTCTCAAACTACAGTCCAAGTGCCACCTACATTAAAATCACCTGGCTATTTGTTAAAAATGGAAAAGTTTAGAACCTACCCAAGGCCTACTGAATTTGCATCAATTAGATGGCACCAGGTAGCTGCATTTTAAACCACCTCCTTGCATGATGCTGAAACATCCTAATGTTTGAACACACTTGAGCCTTATGCAGGTCCCAGTAGAAAAAAAATGTGCATGATTTTCCAATTGAAATCTCACCTCTACACTTGAATTCCTTGAAAACTTGGCCAGACTAGATTAGCACTCATCTTTTATCTATGGGATGGTTTGAATAGCTACAGGATTACAATGAGCCTAATGTGGCTTGCTATGGTAGTCGGTGTAATTAAAAAAGGAATTGGACATCATGACAGGGATAGTTCCTCCAGTGCGACTATAATCTTGAGGCCAGGGATGATGTTTTAAATCTGTCTTATCCTAGAGTACATAGCATGATTCAATAAACTTTGCTTCCCACTGAATGAATGGATTTTCATGTTTGTGGAGCTTCCTGTTAGAAAGAATGGTAGACTACAGTTTGATAGCTTGCAACCCTGACTACACACTAGAATCACCTGTGGATCTTTAAAAAACACTTAAGCCCAGGCCCCACTTCCAACCAATTAGTCAGAATCTCTGGGCCCAGGCATTTGGTATTTAAAAAAAACACACAAAAAAACAAAACTTCTCCCAGATGATTCTAATGTGCAGCCAGGATTGCGAACCACTCCTCTAGCCTTGGCTGTGTGAAAAAGACAACAAACCCCAAGGGTCAATGCTTATTTTTTAGCCCAGGTCAAGGTTAAATTTAAATGCCATAATAACAACTTTGTTAGTCATGTGTTAGTTTCTAATCAATCAGGAAATATTCTGACCCAAACAGAGAAACAAGTTGAATGAAAATTAAGGTGAGTTTTCCCCTTCTTCCCTGTGTTCCCAGAAAAGAAAAAGAAAAAAACAAAAAAAAAACCCAAAAGTAATGTTACTTGCTTACCCTTTCGAATGGTCCAAACATGGACCTCTACCTGAGGTGGTCTCTCTGTCTCTAGTGCTATTTTTCTGGTGGTCTCCCCATCCTCCATGAACACAGACTCATACACAGGCATTGTTTCTTCTCCACAAAAGTAGCCTTTGCTGTCAAAGCTTTGGCCTGGAAGTTCTTCTAGAAACAGGAAGCAAGTAGAGTTTTGTCATGGTTTTCCAAAACTAAAAGCAAACTTCTGCATTTATGTATCTCATTGATTGTAACACCTCGTGCTTATCAAAAGTGGATAATTAACAGGAACATTCTTACAGAGATATAAATTCAACCCATATTTCATTGGCTCAGCTTAGGCTGTCCCTGTAACAGCCAGCAAATCTTACAAAGGAGCATGTGACCTTTAGGTACACATGATGACAGTATCCATAGTTCTACAGAACACTGGCCAACAAACTAAAGTGGATCTACCCACCAGCACATGAGAAGTGGACCTTCATGAAGAGGAAGTATGTGGCCAGGTATGGACTTCTTAGGCACTTAAGGGAAGACACACGACTTTCCATGTTAGGTCAGGATCATGATCTGTCTAGCTCAGTGTTACCAACAGAGGCCCAGGGAATGGACTGGCAGAGGGCCTTGGTTAACTTTCCTGACATCACGAAGATATACTTAGAAACATCTATGACATTTATGTGCATATACTTGCCAAAGGATCTATCCAAACTGGCTTGACATTTCTGAATGCTCTCTGATTTATAAGAGGAATGATAATACCAGATCAACACTAGTGCCAAAACCTAGATGTCAGATTAGTCATATGCATGCTATGCCAAATGAACGGTTGGGAGAAACAAAAAAATCGGTCAAATCCCCCAACTATGGATTGTTAAACGTATCAACTAAACTTGGATTTCAGCTTCCAGGCATAAAGTTACCACCTCCTGATATTCCTCATCCCACACCACCCTCCTCATTCCTCAGCCCCCAACCGAGAAAAGTTTCTCTGGGTTGGCTATCTATGAATAAAGTTTCTTTGCTGGCCTTCAAATCAGCACTCTCTTCAGCTGTGTATTTAAAGTATATATTCAAATCAGGAACAACAAAGATATGCTATGGACACTCTGAAAACTTTGACTATGTGCAGAAACCATTTGTAAGAGTACCTGATGACAGAGTTGAGTGTTGAGTGCTTTGGATCTGTGGCTCTAATTAGGAAGATCACTGTTAGCTATTCAGACTCACTTGGACCACAGGATGTAATCAAATTTCTATTACATGTCTCTTACTGATCTGATTCGCTTTCCCTTTCCCACTACCATATTAGACAAAACCAAATCTTCTCTTGATAATTCCACTCAATTTGTGGATTATCCTAGAATCAAGCTTCCTTTTTCCTTTAGTCCTTCTTTTAGTTATTTAATTACTTGGTGGGCTATTGTAAAAAAAAGGTGATATGTTAGGTATGTAAGGGTTTGCTAGCACTTTTCAAATGGGTAAAGGTCTGAAAGAGGTCACTAAGTGTACAAGAACATCCATGCTTATAATTATCACCTTTAGAATGAGAGCTGAGTTCATTTGTTAAATTTTGCTCACCAGCTCAATACTGGCTATGGCTATAACTGCCATATGAAATCCATGATGGCACTGGAAGGATCTATAATATGTTAAAGGTCACCCAGTGTCCTGAAGAGTCATCCTGCACCACCACTCCCGCCCCTCCAAGAGCTTAATTTTCTCACCAGAAGTGATCTAAAAATAACAAAATCCATTCATGATTTAATGGCACAGAAAGATGTTTGCAATATATTTGTTAAGTACAAAGAGCAAGCTACAAAACAATATGTATAATATGATCCCACTTTATGTGTTACAAAAATAAAGTGTTTATAACACACTTAGACAAAATAAAAGACTGAAAATGCATATGGCAGAATTTTAACAGTGGCTATCTTGGTCTACAATGATTTTAATTGTTGTGTACTATGACACAGAACAGCTATACCATAATTTAACTATTCCCATATTGGTAGACTTGCTAACTGTTTAAAATTTTTCACTATTGTAAATAGCACTGCAGCAAAAATCCTTGTTTGTATATTTCTGTATGTCTCTTATTTATTATTTTGTTAAAATTCCTAGGAGTCAAATTGCTTAGCTAAAGAGTATGGAAAGTAAAGGCTTTAATGAATATTACCAACCTGAGAGGCCAATTATTTAAAAGGCAATGCCTGTTCTGTGTCCTGTTTTCACACATTTTTTT